TTATATGGCTTTTCAGATCTTCCGACACCTCTGTCACTGCTCCCCTGTATTAAATTCCCTCTCTCAAACTACCTAGTATAAGCTATGATTTCCTGCTTAGACCCTGGCTGATGCAGTATGTTAAGAAATCTATTAACTTACATAATTTCAGACCCTTAGATGACTCCATTTAAATCAGTATTAAACATTTCAATTTTGCTAGCCTTGTGAGAGAATTACTCAAAATTTATGCAAAATACTTATCAAAATTAATGTATGTAAATTGTATAAAAATTAGGGAAAAAGATCACCAAAACAAAAAAAATTATTGTTTAATTTCCTATAATTAAACACCCTGAGCTAACACCCATATTAGCAATTTGTTGTATTTATTTCCAGCTTATTATATTATTAAGTATATGCCTTGCCATAAATCAATATTTTAAAACATAATTTGTATCAGATTATAGAAATCTCCATCAATTTTATAAATATGAATCTTAAACCTTCTCTATGGTCTATTTTTACATTTTGTAGCATGCATTTTCACTTGAAATTATATTCCATTACCACCTTTCCACATCAGTGAATAAACATCTCCAGCAACATGAAGTGGCAGCACCAAGACTCAAATGCACCATTTGCCACTGTCTGGATAGACCATGGTTTATCCCCCCAATGCCCTCTGTAGGACCCTTAGGTATTTTTCACTATTATTCACACTGCTATGATAGACATCCTTATGGAGAAATCCTTTCGTCCTTGCCACACAATGTTCTTGGCTGGGGCCAGGAGTTATGTATTTTAAAGCCTTGTCATACATATGGCCAAATTACCCTCTAGAAAGGTTGTAGAGAGAGTGATTTTTGAATGTTTTACAAACTTTTTATTGTGTTAATATCAAATAATGTTTGTAAATGTCCTAAAAACCAGTTGTTACTGCTGGCCTATTATAACTTTAATTAAACAAAACTATTATTAAAGGTTATAATTGTAAAATTATATTTATAATGCTTATAATTATAAAATTATCATTTGACAAAAATGGTTTCCTGAGAATCCCTTGAAGTTCTGATATAGTTGTGGGATTCAGAGGATGCATCTCATCCTGATAAAGTTTGTGTCAAGCTGAGGACACAATTTTGGCTTTGCTGCTATGTTATTTAGCACCAATCCCAGTCAATACAAATCCACTCTTAAACAGTGATGTGAATTCCTGATGCACAGACAACTATTACTAGGTGACATTTGAAAAAAATGTGCTTGAAAGTTGAATGAAATCATAGTCGTTTCATGAGGAAGGTGAAATTTCAAATGTTTAGGAGAATGACAGATACACTATCAAACAGGGTTTCCATTATGCGTTTTCAAGTTATCCAGCAAGAAAATTTTATTGTGTTTATTTTTCTCTTACTCATAGATATGTTTTGTTCACAATAACTTTTAGGAAATTTACTTTGGTACTGCAGGAAAAATATAATGAAGTGCTCAAAAAAAGTGAAATTGGATATAAAGGCAACCTTGATTTCAAATAATTGATCTCCATATGACCAATATCACTGCTTTTACTGCAAAACACACCAGAAAGGGGGTCATCTAGATGTTTCTTTTTTTTTTTTTCAAGATCCATTATATGAGTGAGAACATGTGATATAGATGTTTCAAAAAGAGTGGTGAGAGGGAAAGAAGGGCTAGTTAAAATAATCTCTTGTCAGCCTTGGCTCCCAAAAGAGAGGCACATTTCAGACAGTCTGCAGCTGCAAGTAACAGAAAACTTAATTAAGTTATTTTAAGTAATAAAGGATATGGTTTTAGTGAAACTTGCTCAATTACACAAGGTGCCATGGGACAAGTTTTCCTCTGACCCTCTTCTCTGCCTTCCCTCCACCTTTTGTTAGCCCAAAGCTGGCTACCCTCATGGGTACAAAATAGCTACCTACAACTCTCAAGAGATGTGTGCTTTTCCATTTATAGTCAGTGAGGAAAGAGGACATCTCTACTTGTGGTTCCTAGAAGACCTAGGAATCATGCTTCCCAGAAGCCCCTGGAAAATGTTTGCATCTCATTTGCCCAAACTGGGTCACATGACCATCCTTAAACCAATCACTGTGATGGGGGCGTGGCACTGTGACTGGGGAGAGGCAAAGGCCTAACCAGGTACCTGGTATCAAGAGGGAGAGTGAACGGATGCTGAGTATGTTAGATAAGCAAATGTCTATTATGTAAAAGTTTGAGAAACTACTCTTGGCATTCCTAGCCTGCCCCCTCAGAGATTGGTCTCTCTGCCCACTTCACCCACTCCCCCCAAGATGGAAGCTGATGGGTCTGCCATCAATTTTCAGCCAAGGGGTTGAAACACCCCACTGTATTGAGATGAGCAAGATATAGTATCTGCAATTCATTACCAATAATAACTAAAAAGATAAAGTTTGTAAATGATTTTATTGTTTCATATCCAGCAGACTTTATTCAAGACTACCCACATACTTTTTGCAATCTATATACTTGTTTTTCTTTTTTTAAAAAAATTTCACTTTAGGGGTACAAATGGAATTGTATAGTGAAGCCTGGGCTTTTAGTATACCCATCACCCAAATAACGTACGTTGTACCCAGTAGATAATTTTTAATCCCTCACCCCTGTCCAACCCTTTACAATGCATTTTCAATATCCATCATTCCTGTTTGCCTTTGTGGACTCATAGCTTAGCTTCCACTTGTAAGTGAGAACATGTGATATTTGGTTTTCTGTTCCTAAATTACTTCACTTAGGATAATGGCTTCCAATCCTATCCAAGGTAAAAATACCCTGTGGAATTGATAGACTCTTCACCGTTAATCTGAGCTACCTTGCATAGGAACATGTATTGGCTGATTCAGGAGAAAAATGATTGAGAACCAGGCAGGTCAGAAACATTCCCTTCCCTCCACTGAATTCTCCCACTCTCTGCCTCTTACCTACCCTGCCACAAACATCATTCAGTGTTGATACAACGACACTCCTCACCTTCTACTTCCCACTTCAGAGGTCCAGAGCAGCAGGCACCATAGCCCAATATCCTCAATAGTGGCTGCCAAGAAAATACCTCATCTCCTCCCACACACCTACATTTGAATTTCTGATAGTGAGCACCCAACCCTCTCACACCCTGTCTTCAAAACCACTCTCAATACAGTACCACCAATTAACCTTCATCAAATTTCACTTTGCCATTTACTTTTAAAATCTTTTCTCTTCGTTTATTGTGTAACTAATTCATACTTATTGCAAAGTTATAGGAAAAACACAAAAAAGAAATAAAACCTGCCACAGTTGCAGTCCCAGAATCACTGCATTTGGGGCTGTTATTCCATATCTTTGATATATTTATATCCACATAGGTCATCTTTCCAAAAACAAAGCTAGACTCATGCTATAAATATTACTTTGTAACATATCTTCTGACTCAAAAAATTCAGGGATCTCTATGTATCAATAAATATACTTACATCATTAAGTTGCTATGATATTTAACCGCTGCATAGTGTTTAATTTTTTTTGGTACACCGTAATTATTTAACCTGTGTTCTATTGTGAGATGTACAATTGGTTTCCAATAGTTTGCTATTACAAGCAGCATTCTGGTGAACAATTTTGTTGACGAGCTTCTGTGCCCATGCAGGAATATTTCCTTTGGGTGCTTGAAAGCAGAATTGTTGGCTCTAAGGGTGTGTTCACTTTTAAAGCATTTATAAGCAAGGTATGTTTCTGGAATGTCAATATAAAGGATTATCCCACCATCTTTATCTGAGAGTGGCCATTTTTCCATAATTTCTTAGTATCTTTTTTTTTTTTTGAGTTGGAGTCTCTCTCTGTCGCCCAGACTGGAGTGCAGTGGCCGCTCCCCGCCACCGCAGCCTCGACCTGCTGGGCTCTGGCTATCCTTCTGCCTCAGCCTTCCAAGTAGCTAGAACTACAGGCGTGCGCTACCACGCCCGGCTAATTTTTGATTTATTGTAGAGATGAGGTCTCGCCAAGTTGCCCAGGTGGGTCACGACTTAGTATCTTTTTAATTTAAAAAACGCTAATATGTAGAAAATAATTTTAAGACAAGATAATCCAGTTGATATTCTGATTATTGTTTCTCCAAACAGAAGTTGAGAAAAATGACTTTTATATTCAAATATAGTTTGCCAGGCACAGTGGCTTGTGCCTTCAGCCTGGGAGGCTGAAGCAAGAGGACTGCTTGAGCCTGGGAGCTCAAGACTGTGGTGAACTATGATCATGCCACTGCACTCCAGCCTGAGCAACAGAGAGAACCAGTCTCTAAAAAATTAAAAATAGCAAAATTAAAATGCAGTTCATTTAACTCTCTAATTTATGCTGAGCAAGTATCAAACTCTGAGTAATATGAACTTTCCCCTATGTCTAATCAAGGCGAATGAATAGAAGAAAGGGAAAGAAAAACCCATGAAGGATTATTTGAATGGAACACTGGCAAAACTCTGCTATAGAGGGACAGGAAGGAGAGAAGAGTATATTTGCATCTTTACAATGACCAGATTCAGCTCTCCAAATCAGCTGCCAATACCACCAACAATAATTATTTTCAATGGTTAACTTTTTGCCTTACTTTAAGTGTAATGATAATAACAGTATCACCCATTCATCAAATGTTTGCTATGAGTGAGGAATTTGGCAACTGATTTAATCCTCATAACAATAACAGAGTAAGAATTACTCCCCAATTCTACTGAAGAAATTGAGGCCCAGGAAGATTAGACAATTGGTTCAAGGTCACACAGCTGATCACTAGGCAAAACCAGGATCCGAGCTCAGGCTCACCTGTCTCCAAAGTCCTTGCTATGTCCTCTGTACCACATGCCCCCCTCTTTGGTGTAAAGTTGGACCCTGTGCTGCCTGGGACCCCTCACACTTGGCCAGACATCTCAGATGAACACTTGAGCCTCCTGTAACCTACTTCATTTGTGGCAATTGCATTTTAACATGCCTTTTACTTTCACTTCGTATCTTCCCTTCAGGTCCCAGATAAGCCAATGAGGAGCATCAGGTATATGAACAAGGAAATCATAAACCTCAAAAAAGACCTGATACGAAGTCGGTGAGTGAGCCCAGCAGGGAATGACTCACAATTGATAGCACAGAGTCAGAGTCGTTCTGAAGTTCTGGCTCTGCTACCTGACAGCTGGTGACACTGGAGGGGTTACTTAAACTCCCTGGGTCTCTGTTTCCCTCTCTGTAAAATGAGAATAAGATGAGGTTAGAAGATCCAGTGAAATGATGCATATAAAAGGCCCCTCATATGGCCTTGAATACGATGCCACTGCTGTCCCTCCCACCTCACTCATTCTTTCTCTCTCTCTGATGGTATGAGCAAGTTGAGGCCCAGGGCCATGTTTTATTCATTTCCATGTGGTGAGATTAGAATTTTTTTTCGCCATCGCCCCATAACGACTTCCTGGGACCTGAAACATTCAAGGTAGGGTTTTTAGCAAAGCAACTCAAGGCAAAGTAAGAGATGGGGACTCTTTTAGCACAAAACACACAAGAAATGTGCTGAGAAGGATAATCTAGGCAACAGGGAAGTTCTGTTTTTCTTGGACATCTCCCTCCCACTCCTAGAGGCACAGCGAGACACCTCCTCCCTTCACCTCCATAAACTTAAAGCTCCCCTTCCTTTCTGCCACCCTAATCGCCACTTTGCTCTTTCCAGCAGCACAACAGAACAGAACTTGACAGAACTGAGCCCAAGAAAAGGCGTGGAAGGTGGGGGGAAGGAAAAGAGTCACAGGGCGTAAGGGAGGGGGTAAGAGAAGATCCCAGAAGGTGATATTCTCACTGACTGCAAGGAGTGGCTGTGCCAGCTCTCAGAGTGTCTCTAGACAGATACCATGAGTAGCTACACTAAAACATGTGAAAAGAGTACAGGCTTAGTGGCTCACACCTGTAATCCCAGCACTTTGGGAGGCCAAGGCAGGAGAATGACTTGAGCCCAGTAGTGCAAGACCAGTCTGGGCAGCACAGTGAGAACTCATCTCTACAAAAAAAAATACAAAAATTAGTCAGGTATGGTGGTGTGCACCTGTAGTTCCAGCAACTCTGTAGGTTTGAGCCCAGGTGTAGTTCCAGCAACTCTGTAGGTTTGAGCCCAGGAGATCTAAGCTATGGTGAGCTGGGCTCATGCCACTACACTCCAACCTGGGTGACAGAGTGAAACCAAGCTGGTTTTCACTAGCTGAATATTGTCAGCCTTGAGGTAGAAGACACTAACCCAAAGCCCAGCTACAATCACTAGAGTCTGAGGAATGAGGATCTTCAGAAGAATCTGTATACTGTAAACAAAAGGCTGACAATGTGATAGATACCAATAGATGCCCAGATACCAAGATCCAACTCAGCCTACAGAGCTAGTTCATAACCAGGGCCCATGGCTACATTTTCAAGAAATTTGCAAGCCAATTGTTGAACACAGCTATTGTTAAAAATTAATTATATAAACTTACAATTAAATAAATTATATTAAAGCACAGATAATAAATACTCAAAATTCATCCCTTATTCATTATTTTATAGTTTACTAATATCTATTTTCTTGCAGTTATTGTTGGTTATAATATCTATGTGATAGAAATCGTATGTAGGGAGTGCTACAGTAAATCTCTTCCCTGCTCTGTTTTCACTGATGTCACATTGGTAGCTTCAAGTCAGCCATGGTAAGAATATTTATTATCACTGAAATCAGCAAACACTACAAATCAGGGCTTACTCTTCTGCCCCATCCCCAAAGAGCTGTTTGTTGAACATTTACCAGCACACCACTGGGAATATGCCCCAAGAATGACAAAGGTTGAACTTCCTCCATCCCAGTAAAATAGAGGGACTTGAAGAAAAGGTAATAAAGGCATCAGCCTTTCTGTCAGCCTTCAGTTGGCAAGGGAAGTCTGTCACTCCTGACAGACGCATTTACCACCATTCTGAAACAAGCTAAGATTTAATATCCTCCTCAGTCAGACTGAACCTGTCCATCTGCTGGACATGAAGGAGAATGTGGAAAAGGCAAGACAGGAAACCCACAAGCAAGAAAACAAGAAACAACAATAAGATGTTTCATCCCGCCACATTCTCGGACCCCACTGACCTTTAAGGAATCAGTGATTCCCCTTCAGAAGGAAACGCCCCATTGTCCAAGGGAAGTCACCTTCTCTAAGTGGTGCAAGCCCCATAACCCCATCTCCTTGTATTAAAGGAGGTGAATTATTAGCAAAGAAGATATCTTTTCTACTCATTGTATTTTAAATCCATTTCTCCTCCTGTTAAGCGTCTAGCCCACCTTGTGCCAAACTCCTTGACTGTCTCTTGGATTTTTATTTAATACTTCAGCCCTCTTATAATTCAATTGCACCTCCCTGGTTTCATGGCCAATTTAACATGATGCTAAAAAGAATAAAACTCTAACTGCTTTCCTTCTCGCCTGTTCCACCAGATGTTCAGTGGCACCAAGCAACACACTAACTTGCTGAATTTCTCTTAGCAGAAGTTGACAAGCAGGGCCTCTCTCTGCCCAGTTCTTGGTTGACTCTCAAAGCTGAGGACATATCTTCCTCCACAGGTGTCAGGGCTTTTTATTGCAAATGTTTTAAAGAAAATAAACATCCCTACAAAGAAAATAACTGGGATGAACTTAAACTTATGATTTACCCATGACAAAATTTGGTTTAGTTGCAAATAAACAGTGATGAATTCCCACCCTCCTCCACGCCCCACATCAGATCCCAGCAGGGCCCAGATGACGTAAGTGTTTACAAAGTCTGAGACCTTGCCTTCCAGCCGCAGTTGGTAGACAGCTGAAGCAAGGTAATTAAAAATAACAAAGGTGGGATTTGGGGCAAAGAAAGCAGCTATTGTTGTTGGGGTTTTTAAATTATTGTTGTGTCAGGCGCTGCTTCTGGGTACGTCCTAAACCTTCTGTGCTCATTCAATTTTTTCCAACAAATATTTATCGAGTACAAGATATCACCAGGTGTACAGTAGGCATCATTGTATATCTTGGAGATGAACAAAACAGACAAGATTACTGTCTTCAGCGACTAAGAGATGATGATGTGCATTATAGTGGGGTAAAGGCAACAAACAAGTTAGCAAGTAAATAAACAGAGTGTGGGGGTGGGGATCTGAAATAAGGTGATGTATAATAGTGGTGATGAGGGGGAAGCTGCTACTTGAGCTAGCTAGAGCAGGTGGAGAAGAGAAGTTTATAAAAGGGACCTGGGCCTGTCACCTGAATTATGGGAAAGAAGGATTCACACAAAGATACAGGAGAGAGAAAGATGGAATGTTTGGGAGTACAGTGGGTGAATGGGTGCCAAAAGTCGGAACAAGCCGGAAACGTTGGAGGAATGTAGATGGTCTGTGTGGTTGGAACAGAGTGAGAGAGGATGAGTGAGGAAAGAGGTAATATTGAAGGGCTGGGCAAAGACTGGTTCGTGTACACACTGCTTTGTAGGCTGCAATGAAAAGTTTAAGTTTTAGTCTGAGCGTGGAGTGTGGAACATTCTGAGCAAGAGGCTATGATTTTAAAAAAACATTCCATTCGTGGCATAGAGACTCGTTGGATGGCTGTAGTGAGAGATGGCAATGACTTGGACCAGGGAAATAGCAGTGAACTGGGGAGAAGTGGATGGATTCGGATTTCAGGAGGTGAAGCCCAGGACTGGCTAATGGGTTGGATATAGAAGATGAGGGAAAGGCTACATTGCAGATCTCTCTCTCTCTCTCTCTCTCTCTCTCTCTTGAGTCAGGGTCTCACTCTGTCACCCAGGCTGGACTGCAGTGGCACACTCATGGCTCATCTCACATCTCAGTCGCGACCTCCTAGGCTCAGGTGACCCTTCCACCTCAGCCTCCCAAGTAGCTAGGACTACAGGTGCACACCACCATTTCCAGTTACTTTTTTAATTTTTATTTTTTAATTGTATTTTATCTTATTTTTGAGTTGGAGTCTCTTTCTGTCACCCTGGCTTGAGTGCAGTGGCACACTCATGGCCACCGCAGTCTCGACCTGTTGGGCTCAGGTGATCCTTCTGCCTCAGCCTTCCAAGTAGCTGGAACTACAGGCACATGCCACCACGCCTGGCTAATTTTTTTTTTAGAGAGACAAGGTCCTGCTAAGTTGCCCAGGGTGGCCTTGAACCCCTGGGCTCAGGCAATCCTCTTGCCTCGGCCTCCCAAAGTGCTAGAATTATAGGCCTGAGCCACCACACCATGCCTATTTTTTATTTTAGAGATGTGGTCTCACCATGTTGCCCAGGTTGGTCTCAAACTCCTGTGCTAAAGTCATGCTCCCATCTCAACCTCCCAAAGTACTGGGATTACAGGCATGAGCCACTGCACCTGGCCAATTGCACATCTGCAGGTTACAATGACTTGTTCCTACCTCTGCCTCCCTCACTTGGATATAAGGGTTTTCATAGTGTGAACTGAGTCGTGTCTACTGTTGAGGTCCCAAACAAGCATTTACTGATGGACTGAATTAATTCTCTTATTCATCCCTAAACTTTATCCATCAAAAATAAGGGGGAACACTTGTATATTAACTCAGTAAGGGAAGTGAGTAAGGAAGCTGGTTTATAAACAGATATGTTGGTAAATCAGGAGATAAGGTAGCTGCCCATTGCTTTAGGTCTTTCAGTTGAGACTGATAACCTCTTCCTCTTCCACTGCCCTTCACACAAGAGTGTCCAATTATTGGCAATTGGCCTGTGGCTAGAAAGGAAGGTATTAATGTTGCCCTACAGCAAAGTTTATCAGTCCTGTGAATTCCCAGGGTTTATCTCAATGCTTAGCATAGAGTAGCCACTCAATAAGTATACTGAAGTGTCTATTTGCATAACATCTTAAAATCTTCCCCAAGGACGTCAGTCTTCTTGATTCACTTTTCAAGTGAAAAAATGAGACTCAGACTTAAAGCAATTGTATTAATCAGCTATTGCTGTATAGCAAACCAACCTCCCAAAACTCAGTAGCTTCAAATAATAAGCATGTATCAGTGAACAGGAGTCTATTGTTCACTGGGAGGTTCTCTGAACTCAGCTGGGCTCCCCT